ACTTTAAACTCAACTCATATTTGATAAAAAGTCAAAAAGTGCACTTAGGCCTCGTTTGGGAACAGACTAATTTAGTAACATTTTGACTATTTGGATAAAATATGAGCTAAAAAAAACTAGTATGTTTGTGATGACTTTTTGACTTTTTAGGAAAAGATGTGCAAAAAGTAAAGAGAAAAGAGAATTTTTGACTTTTTGGTATGGGTTGTTGACTTTTTGAATTTTTTAGTAACTTTTTGACTTTTTAACTAAACCGACTTGTTGCCAAACAAAACCTTATTTAGGGGTAGTTTGACATCCCTTAAATAATTCATCTTTTTATCTTTTTTTCATTACATTATCTCTCTATTTTTCTGCACATCTTTTCGTAAAAAGATAAAAAGTACACTTATTTAAATCATCCCAAATAACTCCTTAATTTATCCCAAACAATCCCTAAATCGAGTGTTTCATCTTCATAAGCAAGCAATGTTACTGATCTATCAACACAAGAGTTGCGTGGGTGCATGCGCGTATGGTATGACCTCACAAGGACACATCACAACGCAATTCCATTACATTTTTATATTATTATTATTATAATCCTTAGTAGCATCAAAAGTTGATCACGTTTTACTTCTTTTGTATGCTATTGTCGATATATACATCTTTAACGGGTTGGTTTGATGGTCTAGATTTAGATTAAGTTTGACATATATAAAATAATTTATTTTTTAATTTTTTTTATCATATTATTTTTTTTATTTTTTTATATATTATTTTGTGAAAAAATAAAAAATATATTTATTTAATTCATTCCAAACAACTCTTAATGTTTGAGGGCGTGTTCCTTCCGAAATTTTAAGTTCAAATTCGTAAGTGGATGGTGAGTTGTCAAATCACCCGTAAGTGGACTGTGAATTATCAAAAAAAATGTCGATATATATAGAAAAAGTAAAGATCCCCTCACGTAGATGATGAGTTAAAAAAAAAAAAATGTCGACATATAAAAAAAGTTACAAAAAAAAGTTAATTTTTTGATTTTTTTATAAAAAATAAATTAAAAAATTAATTTTTTATTAACTTTTCAAAACACTACTATGTAGTTAACCTTCATCTTGAATGTGATGTGGGCTATATTAGAAATAATATTTTAATTATTAAGAGTGTTTATAGGTGGGTTTGGCATTAAATTTAGAATCAATTCAATTATGGTAAATTTCAAGTTTTTGGATCTAGAATCAAATCAATCATGTACCAGAACTAATCCAACCCAAAATGTAGTTCGGGGTTGGAACCACGGTTTCACTATATTAAAAACAAATTAATCAATCAATAATAAATAGCAAAAATAAACAAGTTTTTAACATTTAAATATAACACAAATAATGTAATAATTCAAAAATTTAAGTTGTTTTTTAAATTTTATAGTAATATTATTTAATTATAAATGATTTCAAAAAAATAATTTTAACTTTATATTATTATTTAAAATTATTTTTTGAATAATATAATATTTTTATTATATTTTTTCTTATATTTTTTTTAAATTAAAATATATTAAAATACAATATTTTCTGTACAACAAACGTGCGTGCCCACTACGCTGTCTTGCGGCCCACGCCTTTCTGACCATATATATGTGTAGATGTGAAAATCATCATCACCAATTCCAAACACTCTTAGTCTCTCTCTGTCTCTAATTATTTTGTTTTATATATAATTTTGAGTTTAGTTCAAAATATTTAGTAGGTCATAGTGAGTGAACGATAAATGTTAGAATCAACATTAAGGTGAGTTTTATTATATTTTGAGTCACCATAATATATTTTACGTATATTTTAAGTTATTATAATTTATTTTATGTAATTATGTTTTAATTATATTATTTATTTTATAAACCCTATTTTATATAATAAGGAAAACTCATGAATATAACTGTTTATTAAAATGTATTTTGAGTAATTATTTTATAAGTACCACTACAAGAGTCTCATGTCTTGGGAGATTTAAATAACCAGTGGCCCATTTTTGGCCACTTTGTGGTCTGTCATGGATTCATTGAACTATGTTTTGATTTTCACTCCGGTGACCCATGTTCTGTTCTGTTCTGTACCGTAGTTATAGTTATTTACGTAATTTTTGTGTTATATGTCAAATGATTTTCGTATTATATATTCTGTATTTTAATATCAAGTTCTGTTTAGTCCCATAATTATCCATGGTAAATTTTATACTCTTATGCTCTTAGTATAATATTTCTCACTCTGTCATGTGCTTATAGTTGTTTACCACTTTCAGAAGACATGTCAGGGCTAGCGCGTAGGGTAGGCATAAACCACTTGTAGACATAGTTCAGTTTTGACAATTTAATTAAATAGAAGTTCCAATGATTATTTTAGTACCCTCATTTAAATATTATTTCCGCTCGCATTTATTTATTCGTTCAAGAATTGGCCGGAGGTAACTTCAGTTACTGGCCATCACGATACTTAATCCTTGAGTATGGGGAGCAGGTAGTGGTATCAGAGCAATGGTTAAAAAAAATAAAATAAAATAATAATAAAAATCATCATTGGAGCATAGAATACATGCACATTTAAGAAGTATGATAGCGGGTAATTAATACCTAAATACTATATTTTGTTAGTCGATTTAATTATATTATAATTTTATATGATTTTAAGTGTATTATGATTTTATATGATTATATATATATATTAATTTTTTTTTGTGTGCATAATTTGTAAAAGATATTAGATATAATTTATATTTGTTATAGCAAAATATGAAAAAGAAGTAGAGGGTGTCAGGCTCAAGCACCCACCAAAATTATAATATAGTTAAATACATATAATTTCCAGTTCAGTACTCAAAAAAAAAAAAAAAAAAAAGATACTAATTTTGAAACTATTTCCCATCAATGGAAAGTTCACGGATAAAAGAAATGGAATCTCATCTCAAATTCTTTTAGCTCTTTCATATGATTCCGTCATTTCATTTCTAGTCGCTTGTTTAATTATGTTCTCGTTTTTTTTTTCTTTTCAAAAATAAAACTAATGAAAAGTTTTTAAAATCAACCATTGTTTCTTGTTTTGACCCAACACAATTTTTGACAAATAAATAGTAAGTTATTTTCAGTAACTTTTTTGAGGTAATATTTTATATCAAATTAATTATCAGGTATATATTTATCAGAGTGCGCAGCGGATAGTTTACACATATGACAAATTTCAAGGACGGAATTTTTAAAAGGAGGAAAGATTGTAACCACTCGAAAATTTAAATTATCCCTTAAATTTTATATTAGTATTATTTAATTATAAATGATTTCAAAAAAATAATTTTAACTTTATATTATTATTCAATATTATTTTTTGAATATTATGATATTTTTCGCTATATTTTTCCTAAATCAAAATATATACTAAGGCCTCGTTTGGGAACAGGCTAATTTAGTAACTTTTTGGCTAATTGGCTAAAAAGGTAGGTAAAAAAAACTTATATGTTTGGGATGACTTTTTGACTAATTACGAAAAGCTGTGCAAAAAGTAGAGAGAAGCCGTAGTTGTTGACTTTTTGGTATGACTAATTGACTAATTGACTAATTGACTAATTTAATAACTTTTTTGCTAATTAACTAAAAAAGTAACATCCCAAACGAGGCCTAAAATACAACTTTTTCTCTGCAACAAACTTGCATGTCCACTACGATGTCTTGCGGCCCACGCCTTTCTCACCATATATATAGATGTGTAGATGTGCAAATCATCATCACCAATTCCAAACACTGTCTCTCCACTCTCTCTCTAATTGTTTTGTTTTGTCTATAACTTGTGTGAATTACATTAATAGTTCCTATAATTTAGAATTTGTGTCACTTTAGTCCTTAACTTTTTAATTGTGACACATTTAACTTTAAATTTTGAATCTTGTTTCAAATAAGAACAATTGAAAATATCATTAAATTTTTCAAGGGTAAAATTATCAATTTGATAAAATATAAACTAATTTGACAAAAATAAATGTTAAACATATATTTTTGAATTTTTAAAAATTATTTATACGCATTAAAAATAAAATTATGTAAAATTGATGAATCTTTTAGACATTTATTTATTTTTTTTATCAAATTAATTTTTATTATATATTTGGATAATGATCATGTAAAATTAATTTTTAAAAATTAATCATGTAAATTTTATTAATTTTTATCAATTTTACATAATTTTATTATTGGTGGATAAAAATAATTTTTTAAAAATTAAAAATATTTTTTTGACATTTATTTTTTTCAAATTAGTTTATATTTTATTAAATTGACGATTTTGCCCTTGCAATTAAACAATAATATCTTCAATTGTCCTTATTTGAAACAAGATTCAAAATTCAGGGTCAAATGTGTCACAATTGAAAAATCAGGGACCAAAGTGACACGAATCCCAAACTATAGGGACTGCTAGTGTAATTTGCCCATATAACTTTGAGTTTAGTTCGGAATATTTGATAGGTCACAGTGAGTGAAAAGTAAAGATTAGAATTAAGATTAAGGTGAGTTATATTATATCTTAAATCACCATAATATATTTTACGTATGTTTTGAGTTATTGGATATAACTGTTTATTAAAATGTGTTTTGAGTAATTATTTTATAAGTACCACTATAGAAGTCCCATGCATTGGGGGATTTAAATAACCATCGGCTCCTGTTTGGCCACTTTGTGGTCCTCTGTCTGTCATGGATCCATTGACCCCTGTTCTGATTGTCACTCCGGTGATCCCTGTTCTGTTCTGTTTTGTACCGTGGTTATAGTTATTTACGTAATTTCTGTATTATATGTCAAATGATTTCCGTATTATATATTCAACATTTTAATATCAAGCTCTGTTTGGCCCCATAATTATCTATGGTGAATTTTATGCCCTTATGCTCTTAGTATAATATTTCTCACTCTGCCATGTGCTTATAATTGTTTACCACTTTCAGGTGACATATCAGGGCCAGCGTGTGAGGTAGGCACAAAACACTTGTAGATATAGTTCAACTCTGACAATTTAATTAAATAGAAGCTCCAATGATTATTTTGGTACCCTCACTTAAATATTATTTCCGCTCGCATTTATTTATTCGTTCAAGAATTGGCCGAAGGTAACTTCAGTTACTAGCCATCACGATACTTAACCCTTAGGTATGGGGAGCGGGTCGTGACAAATAAATAGCAAAATATTATTTAATGTAAGCTAATACAAATTAAATCTAACTCAAGCTTAAACACAAGTTTATAGTACTCCTTCCTTCATTCACCTAATAATTTATGTATCTGAAAGATTATTAGGTGCAATCAAATTCATTGTAATAGATCAATTATGTGAAGAAATATCAATATAGATAAAATTTCAAATATATATAAATAGGTTCGGTTCTCAATATGGTTCGGTTTAGACGATGTCTAAACTAAGAACCAACCCAATCCTATCGATTTGATGATTTAAAGACCCATAATCAAATCAATGCACTCAAAAACCAAACCAAACCAAACCAACCCAACTCAACCCAACCCAAAGAGATCGGTTTGATTTAGTTCTTCAATTCACTGGCTAACACGTGCAATACAATTTTTTGTGTTCTTTTCGTATTCTAATTTTATACTCAACCAAACCACACAATACAGTTTTTGTGTTATAATTATGTGTACATAGTATTACTATTGCTATGATGGTTATTAACATTTTCACTACACCATTTATGTCATAACTTTCACTTCATGAGTGCGTACCATAGATCTCATTCTTTTATCACAAAGCGGATAACATTTTTTTTATCGTACTAATTTTTTAGGGGTGTGAACAGTTATGAACAAGGCTGAGGAGTTGGAAAATTTATGTAATTGTTCCTTGAGACAATAAAAAAGTAAGAGGTTCAAAATTTGAGTTGATCAAGCAATTACAGTCTTTTCATTCATTGTAATCAAACTTACTAACATTTTATTTTATGAAAAAGGAAAAAAAAAAACAAATTCATTCTTGCTGTGACTCACAAGTCTATAATACTAAATTTAAATAAAATTCACTGTATATTTCATTTTTAGATAATTTTTCTAACTACTTTTTCACTATCCCTATCATTTTTTCTTAAGTAATCCAAAATATGAATGTTGTTGCATGTATACTAGCCGTGACGACACAACCAACTGATCAAAAATGGAGTAAAGGCCCTCTTCCTCTTCAATAAAACAACTTTAGTGATGATCCCATTGAACCATAAAGAAACAAACTTTGAAGTAATATTAAAAAAACCCTCCAAAAAAATGTAGTGATGTGGTGGAGCCAATAAACATGAGAAAAAGATTGAAGTAGTACAGTGTTTGTTTGTCTATTAATAGTGACTGAGATTCCAAGTTTGAAAGAAACAGGATCTCTTTTGGCCTTTTGTTTTGATCACCATCTTCTTCTACTTTTGTTGTTGTTGTTGTTCTGTTATTTCAGAGTTGCTGTGTCTCAGTGCATTGATTTTCATTCTCTCTCATGGCTAGAACACAAGGACTCAACAAGCCATGTATACTCATCATAGGTAATGACACTCTTCACCTTCATCTTTTTTTTAGCTGTACTACTATGGGTTGGGTTGTGGGTGTGTCTTCAATTCAATCGAATTGTGCTTATAACCCGTTGCCTACCTGTATGTTCAACCCGGTATTTGGTTTAGGGTCTATTTCGACTTGGTTTGATATTATTTGGATTGCGTATATAGGTTTGATGATCTCCATAACTTCTTGTCTGTGTAATTATCAAAAATAAATAAATATTTAGTCGAGACCTATCACCACGAGAAGACACCAAAATTCATACGAGTCTTTCCTCTCATCCATTGCATTAATTTATGACAAACACTTTACATAAAACCTAGAATCATTTGTACTCAAATTTTTATGTCCTTCTGTCCCAAAACATTTACAATTATGAAATCATGTGAGAATCTTGAGATATAGACATTTTAAGATGTGATTCAATGATTTAGAATGTTTTGTGACAAAGACAAAGATTTGGAATAAAAGATATCGTGACTTGTAAAAAGAGAGCCATCTCATTATATTGAAATTTCTTGTAAAAAGACACCTTATTAGATTCTCTATTTTTGTAGTGAAATTCTTCACCCGTGAACGTTGATTTAAAGTTAAATTACATAAATCTTTGTACGGTTGTTTGTTTGTTATATTTATTTTTTGTTCTGTTCATTTCAAAAACAAATATTTCTTGTTCTATTTTTCTTAGTCTGTTTGTTGTGAACAGTGATAGCTGGTATGGAGAGGTTTGCGTTCAAAGGGGTGGCATCAAATTTGGTAACTTACTTAACAGATGTTATGAAGATGAGCAACTCATCGGCTGCCAAGACGGTGAACAGTTGGTGTGGAGTCACATCCCTGTTGTCTCTCCTTGTGGCACCCCTTGCTGACTCTTACTGGGATCAGTATTCTACCATTTTATTCTCTTCTTTCCTCTATGCTCTGGTGAGTAATTATTCCTCTTCTCATAATTTTTTTTTTTAACTTTTGTTAAATCTACTCGATATTGATGCCTAATATCAGAAATGATATACACACAAAAAAATAAAAAAAATAAAAATAAAATTTAAGAAAGCGTACAGAATTTCAATACATGGTATGGATTTAAACTTAGTGGAATGAATATTATCTACATATTTCAAATCCTGGGTAGCTTTTCGAGCTTTTTTTTTTTTTTCTTCTTCCATTCCTGTGTATACAACATTGTTGTACCTAACATTGTCCAATCATATATACATGGTAACAGGGTACTAGGTGATTCCAATTGGTTACACATACATAGGTCTAGGATATGAAGATGTACAACTCTGCATTGCACAATTGAGAAATTTCTCTACTTCCTTTCTCTATAGGGTCTTCTAGCACTGACATCAACAACATTGCCAACCAACAAAACCAGTTCCACCTCTTCACTTTTCTGGTCTCTCTACATGATTTCAATAGGCCAAGGAGGGTACAACCCGTCATTGCAAGTGCTCGGAGCAGATCAACTTGAAAACGAGGATGAAACATCGCCTTTCAGCAAAAATGAAAAGAATTCTGACAAGGGTTTGTTCTTTGGGTGGTCGTACTTTGGGATTTGCAGTGGCAGCCTCTTAGGTGTCACGGTTATGTCGTATATCCAAGATAACTTAGGATGGGGATTAGGATTTGCTATCCCAGCGATCATGATGGTTACATCAATTGCATTTTTCTCTTGTGGTAGCAAATTTTTCGTGTACAAGCAGGCTAACAAGGGTGGTGATGTGAAGTCCTTGAAGAACATAGTTCATGCCATCAAAGGGACTGCTGCCAAAATGATGAATGTTCAATTAACCGTGTCAAACAAATCCGATGTGGTTGAGCTAGAGTAAGCTTCCTTCAATCCGATTTGTTTGATCTGGGATATGCCCAATTAGTTTGTATTGTTGTTTTTGTGTAATAAAAGTAATTTATCAAAGAAAATAAAACAAAAACAAAATTCAACAGATTCTAAATTGAATTAGTATTAATGATGGGACTTTTAATCTGTCTATAGGCTTGAAGAACAAAAACCACTGTCTCACCAAGATCTTGATGGCAGCGAGGGCGTAGACAAGAGCTCTAACACTGGCATTCACCTGCCTGAAATCGCGAAAGTCATATTGCACCTCTTACCTACATGGACTACTCTTCTAATGTTTGCAGTGATTTTCCAGCAGCCCATGACATTCTTTACAAAACAAGGTGTGACAATGCAGAGAAACATTGGAAGCAACTTCAAAATCCCACCGGCTATGCTACAGAGTGTGATCACAGTATCCATAATCCTGTTAACGCCTTTATATAACATGTACTTCATCCCCCTCGCTCGCGTTGTCACGCACAACGAGAAAGGTATTGTTAGTCTAGCAAAATAACAATCACAATGTTAAGCGCACACATTATAAATAAAAATACAAAAAATAATGATATAAACAGAAATTAAACTATAGTTGAGAACAATAGCGGGCAATAATAAAAATAGATTTATTTCGTATTTACAATATTGTAATAGATATATTGATTTGGATGTAAACATAGAATTCATTCTCGAAACTCATATATAATAATTGAAGAATTAAAAATTATATCTGTTATTTTTTATTAAAATATCCCAACAGGTATCAGCGTGATGCAGAGGATGGGGATCGGAATGCTTCTTTCAGTCATAGCGATGGTGATTGCAGCGCTTGTAGAAACGAAGAGGCTCAAAATAAGTAAAAACACACAATCAGAAACAGTGCCACTTAGCATATTTTGGTTGCTGCCACAGTACATTCTGTTGGGTATTTCGGACATTTTCACCGTTATTGGGATGCAAGAGTACTTTTACAGTGAAGTTCCTATACGAATGAGAACAACGGGGATAGCACTGTATACAAGTGTTTTTGGGGTAGGAAATTTCTTGAGTGCACTGTTAATTACCATTCTCGACTATTTCACAAACTCAAGAAGAGGAGGAAGACAAAGTTGGTTCTCTGATGACATGAGAGAAGCTAGGCTAGATAAGTACTACTGGCTTCTTGCCTTGGGAAGTTCTTTAAGTATGCTAACATTTGTAATCTTGGGTAGATTTTACAAAAGTAGAATATGATTTGCTTAATGTAATATGTAACATATGCTTCATTTTCTGACCACTGTTTAGGTAATGTTTATAGCTTTGTATAGCTTTTTAATAGTATTATTCGCTGTAATTGAAGTGAGCAGACTTATTACAAAGCAGAGGTCCCTTATCACAACACCACTCCACCTCTTTAAAGTTTATATTTCATTTACATTTATCTCCAAACAGATTAGTTTCGTTTTATTTTTTAGTAACGTTTCTAATATATAGTTATTAATATATATATATATATATATACATATTTGGTATTGCAAGAATTAGAAATTTTCAAGATAAAGGTATGTAATTTTTTCACTTTTAAAAAAGGCTTTTCGATATAAAATAAAAATGAAATTACTAATACATTTTTCGTTTCTTATGAATAGCCAAATCAAAAATAGATTTTTTTAAAATACTTTTTAAGTTTCTTCTCATTTTCAAAACTTAACCAAACAAAAGAAAGGATTTTTTTTTTTTTTTTTTTTTTTTGAGGAATAGGAAATAATATTAATCTTTGAAAGGAATTAACTTCATTCATTTCATTTCTATTTCTTTGTTTTTCAAGTTAAAGATCACCAAAGAATTTCCCAACATAAAAAGGCCATAAGAAGCAAAAATTGTGTCAAAATTCATTTTAACTGCATTAAATAACTTTTTCAATTAATGATCTACAACAAATAATATTTTCCAAAAAGAAAACGTAAACTCATCTGACTGGACTAATGGAGTCTTCAGCTTGAAAGTAACTAACAACACAAAGTATATGGGACAAATAAATATTTGTCAGGAATCCAACTTGGAATTTCATGGCTGTAGTCTCGCACTGGGTCTAATTTTGTTGAACTAAATCATTTAATTTAGAGATTATTGAGCCGATCATTCATGTAAAAAAATCAATTTAATCGAATATCAAAATTAACTTGATCAAATCACATTTCTTTTAAAAAAACTAATGAAAACCCGTCCTATGCATGGGATGTGAAAAAAAATAATAAAATATGTTTACATAAAATAATATATATAGTTAAATTTTTTATGTAAATTATGAAAACAAAAAAATATATATATTGAAACTTACAATTTAAGTTTCACAATTTTATTACAATTTATACATCAATTTTTAATTTGTCAAATTTCAATCATATAACTTTCATTCCCTTACTAAAGTTGCAAATTTAGACAAGTTGAACCCAACCAACTCGAATAAAGCCTGTAAATTTTTAAAAATTGAGCAACATAATTTTTAATTCAATGAAAACCTATATAAAATTGAATAATTCAAATAAATTTGAATAGATTTGGGCAGAGAGATCAAATAACCTAAGCAATCGAACAAAATTGTATATATAAATATATATAATTATTTGCTAATTTGTTTTTTAATAATAAATAAGATTATTATTTAATTATAAATAATTTCAAAAAAATAATTTTAACTTTATATTATTATTCAATATTATTTTTTGAATATTATGATATTTTTATTATATTTTTCGCTATATTTTTCCTAAATCAAAATATATACTAAAATACAACCTTTTCTCTGCAGCAAAATATATACTAACACATCACTCCAACTCTAACTCATATTTCATATTTTTCGTAAAAAATCAAAAAGTACATTTATTTAGATAATCCAAAACACCCCCTTAATATTAATGAATAAAAGTAAATACAGTTTTTAGAAATGGATCATCGAATAAGTTGACATTAAAAAAATTACATTTTATAATAGCATAAAATAATTTAAATAAGATTTTTCAAAAATTATCTTTAATTTAAAAAATTACAATAAAATTAAATTTCTTACAAAATAAAAGTATCTAGATAAAAAGAAGAAAAAAAAAAGTAAGAAGAAAATTTAAAATGGTATTCTCATTTGATCTAAAAATAAATTTAGGTGACTAATGAATTATTACTTATAACTCTCAATTTTTTTAAATAAAAAAATATATTTCACAAACCATCACTTTTATTAGAAAAATAACATTTATTTCTATTTGTTTTAGTAAAAGTCATTTTTTAGCGATTTGAGCCAAATTTTTTTCATTTTTTATTTTAGTTTGTTTAATTGACAATTAAGATTAAAAAAAAAATTAACAGGATCCACTATATTTTGCAAGCGCTGAAAAAGTCTAGATGAATAATAAATAAATAAAAAAGGTATGGCTTCCCTCCAGTTCGTGATCGAACTTGCTGGTATTGCTGGACCCGTGGGGGCCCACCATGGGTCCCGTTTTGATAATCCAAACCGTTTAATGTGTAGAACTCGTCAAGTACTATATGCATATTAAACATCACGTTGAATGGATATTGATAGCTATGTGATCAAATCAGATTTCTGTCAACTGTTTATTTTTTCACCGTCCATTTTTTTTTATACAAAACTGATTTGATTTCTTAGCTATTGATATCCGATTAACGTGATTTTTTACAAGCATATAACACTTGACGAGTTCTACACACTGAATGGTTCGGATTATCGAAACGGGACTCGTGGTGGGCCCCCACAGGCCCAACAGTTCCCTCCAATCTGATCATGGACTGGAGGGAAGCCATACCCTAAAAAAAATGTTGAGACCCACAAAAAAACACCCACAATTGTATCCATAATGATGTGATATCATATATGTCAACACTTGATTTGCTATACATTCAATGACATGGAATCCAACTCCTTGCTACATTATGCTGGGTTAAAGCATGAGTCTGTAGTATTGCTGGAAGAATAAATTATCACGTGTAACTCTCATTTTCATTTTTTTATTATATAAAAAAATAAGTTTCACCAACTATCACTTTTAGTAGAAAAAAATATTTATTTCTATTTAATTTTAGCAAAAGTCACTTCTTAACTATTTAAGTCAAAAGATTTTATTTTTTTTATTTTAATTTGTTTAATTGACAATTGAGATATAAAAAAATTAATAGAATCTATTATGTTTGGTGCGGGGATATATTTCTGAGTACCAACACGTGGCCAAGGTGACGCCGAGGTGATCTCGGCAAGGCCGAGGTTATCTCCGAAGATATCGGAATCCGAGATAATCGGATAAGGGACAAGAGTCCTAGAATAAAGAGGAGACTTAGCTAAGATAAGGATATAGCTCTTAGGGAGTTTATCTTTATCTCTTAAGGAGTCCAAAGTAAGTACTGAACAGGAATCCATAGAAGTCAGGCTTCTATTGGGATTAGGATTGAGGTAACTATAAAAGAGAGGCACCCCCATGGGTCTAAGGTACGCAATATATATTCTGTCTAGTGAGATTAACACTATTGATTATCTTTGAGAGATATACTGACTTGATCGTCGGAGTGCCCCCGGGTGGACGAACCACCGCCGGAATCTTCTCTTTCTGTTACAGGTTAGCCAGGTGTCATGTATTCTGCCAGTGCTCTCCAGCTGAATACTGAGTTAAGCAGTGCGATCGGAAAATCACTCACACATTTGGCAATTGTTAAAAAAGTCATTCATTTTCTTAATGTTTGTCTTTGTTAAAAAAAAAATATTTGTATTAAAAAAATTTAGGGATATTTACTAATAAATCTCATCTCACAAACAAGTATTCCAATTAGTCCCAAATTTATCTATTGATCTGTTAAGTCCTATTTGTGAAAAAATATTTTAAAAAATAATAAATGCTCAAAAATATAAAAAAATGTACTAAATTTCATATTTTTTTTTTGTATTTGTGGTATTTAGTGATTTTTTTAAAGATTTTTTTCACAAATATTATACTTTTTAAGTGTATTTATGTTAGGTGTGTCTAAAAATTTTTAAAAAAATGTTTAAAATATTAAAAAAAATCAGTGAAAACAAAAAAATACAGAAAATGAAAAAGTAAAATTTTCTGAAAAATAAATTTCATAATTTAATGAGAATCATAAAATAAGAGAATCTCGATATATAATGTGTTATTGACAGTGCATTGGGAATAAAAAGATAAACCTGTGTCTAAATTTGGATAGTAAACTGTGTGATTGAGATTTAGTTTAGGTATGGTACAAGGAGTTAATGTAAGAATTTGAGAGGGTAATTTATATGAAAATTGGGCCGAGCTGGGTAATGGGCTGTTATGGGCCACAGTACGAAGGGCTAAGTAAAAAGGCCATAAAGTTACTCTGGTCCAAAAGAGGCTTGAAGTTACTCCGGTCCAAAACAGGCTTGAAGTTACTCCGGTCCCAAAGGGCTTACGGTAAGCTCGGTCGTCACACATGAAGTTATCCCGATCGGGACCTCGGTATTGGTTATCTCGGTCTAGACATACCATGGTTAGCACCGGGAGAAACCGGGGTAAGAGCAGTGAATGGAAGAGCCGAGCTAAAGTTAGCTCGGTCTAGTCTGCGGCTTAGCATAGCCATGCTTACCTCGGTCATATTGGAGTCCGACCATGGTAAAACCATCTCACTTGGTTTAAGTAGTGAGGAGGGTGTTGAAGGATAAGCATTATCTTTCGGGAGTATGACTCTTAGGAGGACTCTACATGGAGGAGTAAGAGTCCTAGTAGTATTGTGCCACGCGGAACCTATAAAAGCTCACAACATCACCTATGAAGAGGTAACACAATTTTTGATTCTCGAATACACAGAGCTTTTTGTCTATTTGTCTATTTTGCTGACTTAGGCATCAGAGAGGTATCCGGCACACACCCGTCGGCTAGCTCACGTTTGTGTTTTCAGGGAATAAAGCGACGACGTACGGAGAAGCGCAATCTTGATCAATAGGATTATACGGGAAGAATATTTCGTGCCCGTACAATTGGCATTGTCTATGGGAAAATCAGACTAGAACAAAACCTCTTGATCAAGCTTTTCCTCTTTAGAAGCAATGGCGCACAACGAAGATTTGCTGCAGTCCGCCATCGATGGACAAACACCAGAGGGGGGTGTAAGGCGCGAAGGCCTACCTTTTATCTCTTCCATGGCGGACTTGGAGCCACAGCGACAGAATCCCAGGAGGGATGCAAGGGGGAGGAGGCGGACTAACAGCCCCCATCACTCTTGTTCACAAAGTCCTGACAGATAAAGGCAGAGGATTGATCCTCAAGTTCTAGAGGACCGCGTGAAGGAGCAAGATGAATTAATAAGGAAGATGGCGGTGGACATGGAGGCCATGAAGCGCCAGATCAAGGGAAAAAGGGTGGCGACAG